ACGTACTCAACAATCTTGCCTAGTTCATTTTGCATCACCTAGCGTTAACTAGTCAGTCCAAGCTGGAGGAAGAGTGAACGACGAAAACGAACCTTCCCGGTACCCTCAGCAATAGCCGCAATCGCCATCAGCCCCGCGTGTCGTACTCGCCAGTCGTAGCTAGCCATCATTGAGGGTATGTACTATCATCATGATATACAATTAGTTTCGATGTAACAGATGAATGTAGAGAGTGAGCCGAACCTGGAACGCAGGAGGCAATACAGATCTTCCACCCATTGCACAAGCCAGCCGGTCCAGGGATTGTTCGTATAGCGCAGGTGCTGACTCTGTGTCTGAGGAGCTTGAGTTCGCTGAGGGCTATGGAAGAGGGGAAAGGAGAATTAGAAGGGGTGTTTGTGAACGGGTGATGGGAAGAGAAATGAAATGAAGAGGGACGAAGGCCCAGATGGGAGCGTACACGAGAGTTATAGACCACATTTAAGTAGCACGAAGATCCAACCAAACGCGGACTCCAAAATAGAATCAAAGCCCCCCCAAAAGCCGAATACCCAAAACCAAAGGAGACTCAAAAGAACACACTCACATCCTCCTTCAACCACCCCTCCAAATCATCCTCATCCACCTCTCCCATGCCCTCCAAACACGCACGCACCACAGCCTCCACCCACCCCGGCACCTTCCTTACCATACCGGGTTTCGCTTCACTCAGCGAGATCATAAATTCCAGTGCGGCAAGGCGCAGCGTAGCGCGTTCGTCTGCATCGTCAGCCTCATCTTCGTTCTCTCCCTCTTCTTGGGAATTAGAGTTTGGCGAATGGAGGGAGGAGGAACCGGGTGGTGGGAATACGAACGCGCTCTTCCCTGTGGAGGAGGAGCTAGAAGAAGAGGGGAACGGCCTTCCAACGGTCGGCGTCGGCCCACAATCCACCGCGGGCAATATAAGCCCCGGGAGGAAACTCAGCAGCGCCTGGAGGTGCGGTGCGAACAGCGTCGGGTGGGTGCTGCACAGCGGTGTGAGGGTGCTGAGGAAGGTGCTGAGGTGGTGGTAGTTCGTCGTTGGTGGGCCGCCGAGGGAGTTTACGGTACGTGGGGTGTTGGATGGCGGCGCCCCGGGGATGGTGTGTGTGCCGAGGGGTTGGGAGGAGAGGGAGGAGGCGAGGAAGGGGAGGGTGTCGAGCATTGGTGTGAGCAGGGAGAGGGACTTGGCGAGTTGCTGGGCGTCGGCGGAGGAGAGGTAAGCGGTTGAGGCTAGGAGGGCGGCGTGTCTGACCTATTATAGGATGGGCCGTTAGTTACCTGGTTTTCGAGGATGGAGAGGAAGGAGATGGAAGGTAGATTTATGGAACAAGAAAGGAGGAAGTGGGGAGCGGGATCGAACACGGCAAAATCAATTCAACAAAAAAACCAAACCAACACCCACCTCAATACTATACGCATCCTGCAGTCCCCGTTGGAACACACCCAACACCGCATCTGTCTGGAGGTCCATAACGAGATTCGGGCACCCAGCAAACACCCTATACGCGCTCTCTCTTAGCCCCGCTCCGCCTGCCCCCGTGCCACCCATTGCTTGCTGGTTGTTCAAGCCTTGACCGGGGCCGTTATTTGCTCCTACGAGTTCGTTGGCACCGTCAGCATTGTATCCAGCAAGAAAATAAAGTAAAAGATGCAGAAAAAGGCACAGAGGGTAAAGAACGAAAACGTACCACCAAAAGCCCCCTCTCCAACAGCCTGCGTCATGGCAAATGCCTGCGCCTGCAGTGCATGCCACGGGCGTCCTCGCACCATGCCCTGGTTCGCCAGATCACAGACGGTGTCGACGCTCTTCCTGCGCACCAATGCGCTCGGCTCGTGTGCGAGTGAGTGGAGCAGTAAACGCTCGAGGGTGGTGAGTGTTTGTGAGGAGAGGTGATCGTAAAGGGTTAGGCGGGGTTGGTTTGAAGGGTGAGGGTAGGAGGAGGAAGAGGAGAGGGATGGAGGGAGAGAGGAAGGCGGGAGAGAGGAGGGAGCGGGCCGGAAGAGGAGACGGCGGAGGAGGACGAGAGAGAATGAACGCATCTGGGAATGGGGAGGGTGGTTAGCATTATGCGACAAGTGAAGGGAGGGGAGGGGGAGAACTGGCGGGATGGGTTGGGCGCACGACGCCAGAGGGCGGCGGTCGAGAAAAGCTTAACTACGCGCAATTGCAGGACGGAACGACATAATGCCTCCGTATAGCTAGATTCCTTGTGCAAGATTGCCTCCGCAAGAAGGATGACGCTCGCACAAGACCCTGGGTGGTCCAGACGCGAAGACGTACGTAAAGTTCAGCGCCCGATTCCTCGTCGTCCCATCAACCACGAAGCGCGATGACCACTCACACCACAGAGGTGGGTGCAACGTAAGATGGTACGAATCGCAAGATACGAATCGCACATCGAACTGTGGTACAGAACGCACGAGCGGCATGGACAAGCGCCTGTTGGGAACAACGCCCAGGATATACGCCTGTCGATCCTTGTCGGGTGTGTTGAATAGTTCACGTAGATCCCCGCTCAATTTATCATCCACACCAGCCCAGTTGCGCATCTAACCCCTACCCCCATCTCATTGTAGCCACACCAGCCTCCAAACGAATCAAAATCAAAGATGAGAGACTCACCACCTCCGTATCAGCCGCGATCGCGAACTGTGCCAAGGCAAGCAGGTACAGCTCTGGCGTCTGTGCGAGGCGTTCATTGACCGCTTTCTCTGCACTGTTCGTCGGAGGCGATCGTCAGCAGTCGTTCTTTATAGTCTCCTTCCTCACCACTCGATGTGAAGATGAGGAGAGGGGAGAAAGACAGAAATGAAAACTCACTTGGACCGAATCTCATTATCCCCCAACACGAGATTTGATAGAATCTGCGTGAGCTCAGCTGTGATCTCTGCAGGTACGACTGCCTCCATCGTACAACCCAGTCTAATGTTTTCAGATATTTTTTGGTAGATGTTATGTCTAGCTGTAGCCCAAGCGTGCCGTAAGTCTTCACCGTCAGCGTCGATGGTCTTCAAATTGAGTAGAGGAATAACAATAACAGAAGTAAACCAGATGAATGAATACCAGAGTGAAAAGAAAAGAAAAATTGAAAGCAAGCGTGTCAAGTGCGAGATCAAAAGCGGGGGGTGGCTTGATCACTATACCCCGCGCCGATCAGCCCGTGCACAGACAATATCTCCGCCCAAATTAGGCTCCACGTGTTCTTATCAGAAGAAGTCCTTCGGTTATCCCCGAGCGTGCCCATGCGAGGAGCTACAAGGAGCAGGGAGATTCTTTCCTTCTTCAACGCGCCGTAGTCCTCTTTTGCGTTGGCTTTTACCAAGCTGTTACTTCCATTGTACAGAATTCGGTCGAACAGAAATGCAGTTGAATTCAAGCACGTCATTAACCTTCCATGCGAACTGTCGTCCCTCCTATGAAAACGGAAGATCACCTCAACAAACAAATCTACCTCTCCATAAATGCAATCTCTCAATGCCCTGTGCCCATGGGCTGGCTCCTTGTACGTCTGTCATTGATTCGCGTTTTAACTTTCTGCAGATTTGGTGGGATCTCCATCTCCTCCTGGTCTCTTCCTCGGACTGTCTTCCTGTCACCAGTGTCTGTTTGTTGCATTGCTCTGACTTCTGCATCATCCAGACGTCAGCTGTCCTTCCGCGTCAAAAAACAAGCGCGTCGCGGGTAGTGCAGTATTACTATACCTCAGGGAAGTCGGAGACTTGATTATTTGGCGGAGGCGCGTCTATGTACCATACCTGAACATTGAACGCCCTCTGCATCATCCAGCTTATGAAAGCTCAAAAGAACATTGATAAAGTTTGTAGAATTCGTTTCTCCTTCATCTATTTAGTTTCAAACCTCCTCAACTTTCTACCAGGACTTCTCAACGCTTCAAGATATGTTTTTCTCAAAGCCTCTTGGCCCACCCCGGCCCTGCACTCAAAGCTTAAAACTCTCTAAACTCAGCGCACTTGTTACCACCACCGACGCCTCCGAAACTCGGAATTCGGGACGTAAAACGCAATAAAAGCACCATCACTGGGTCGAGTTTGCCTGTTTTACATACTTATTTGAATCTTCATTGTCGATGCTTAGCGTCTGGATCGGCATTTTGGTTTCTACGTACTTGGCACCGCCGTAGTCTTTGTATCCCTCCATATCTTCGGATGCGTATTGTATATTTCGACGACTATTTCAAATGGTTAATGACGCGATGTCAAAAAGAAGGTTTGTAGTAGACTGCGATTGACCTAGTCCGAACCAGAGCTTTCTGCTGATAAATATGTGCAGACGAGTTAATGGCATTTTGAGCAGAGGTGCACCATACACCACCAGGCCGATATCTACTTACCTATATTCCAGCACTTTATCCTATCAAAATGCATTCCGTAGTCCGTGGCCCAAAAATGAAGACTGTACCGAACCAAATATTGACCTGGTCTGGATTCGAACCAGACCTCTCTGCTGATGAAAGAATGTTGCGATGATACAGCTTACAGGAAGCAGAGGTGCACCGTACACCACCAGGTCGCTGTATACTTGCCTATATTCCAGCTCTTTATCCTATCAAAAGGCATTCCTTAGTCCAAAACGACAATCCAAATAAGCCAGTAGCCTGGCCTGGATTCGAACCAGATCCCTATACTCGTGGAACACGTTTCATGAATGTTATCGAGATATTCAGCAAATGTGCGCCATACACTACCAGGCCGATGTATACCTACAGTTATTGGCACTTTTATTTCCTCCAATGTGAATCACTGTGTAAAACAAATGGGAACGTATGACCCGGTAACGACCTTGTCTGGAGTCGAACCAGACCTCTCTGCTGATGAAGTTGTGATATCACACCAATACAGACTACAGGAAGCAGAGGTGCACCCTACACCACAAGGTCGATATCTGCCTACTTATATTCCAGTTCTTTATCCTATCAAATGGCATTCTCGGGACCAAAATATCACTATTGGCCAGCAATTGGCCTAGTCTGGATTCGAACCAGATCCCTCTGCTCATGAAACGCAACTGATGAATATTCAGTATTTGGGATATTCAGCAAACGTGCGCTATACACCACCAGGCCGATGTATACCTACATACATTGGTACTTTTGATTCCTCCGAGGGAATAATTGTTTAAAATGAAGCAGCAAATGCAAGAACAAAATGACCTAGTCTGAAGTCGAACCAGACCTCTCTGCTGCTCACATTTTGATCAACATATTACAAGGAGCAGAAATGCACCGTACACCACCAGGCCGATATCTACTTACTTACATTCCTGCCCTTTATCCTATCAAACGGCATTCCTTGGCCCAAAATTACCATTAATAGCATGAACCAGTGACCTGGTCTAGATTCAAACCAGATCCCTATGCTCATAGAATACGACCGATGAACGTAATAGAGATGTTCAGAAAATGTGCACAATACATCACCAGGCCGATGTATACCTATATATATTGACGCTTTTTAGTTTTCCAGTGGGAATGATTGTGTAAATTGAAACGGTTAACGTGCATAGACTAATTGACCTACTCTGGAGTCGAACCAGACCTTTCCGCTAATGAAGTTGCAATCTACTTAACCTTTACAAAGAGCGGATGTGCACCGTACACCACCAGGCCGATGTCTACTTACGTATATTCCAGCTTTTTATCCTATTAGAAGGCATTCCCCGGCCCAAAATATCAGCCATCTATCCTGACATTGACCTAGTCTGGGTTCGAACCAGATCCCTATGCTCACGGAACACAGCTAGTGAATGTTGATGTTCGGCAAATGTGCGCCATACACCACCAGGCCGACGTATGCCTACATATATTGGCGCCTTTTATTCCTCCACCGAGAATCATTTTGTAAAATGAAACACCCAGTACTTGAGGCCATTGACCTAGTCTCGTGGTCGAACCAGACCTCTCTACTGCTGACATTTTCTTCAATCTTAGATATTATAAGAGGCACAGGTTCACTGTACACTACCAGTTGACTTGTGAAAGTGACATCCAGCAGCAGTATTTACTTACAATTCTCTAAAGATGAGCAGCCATTAACAGAACTTATTTCACACTTGAGCTTTCTTTGTATGTTTAGTTGGCAGGGCTTGTGATGCTGACTTAGAATGTGGGACAAGCTAAAAGATTTGATATGCTACACTGGCACCAGTGCTACATATCCTAGATAAGGATTCATAATTGCAAGTATCATTGTGTCTGAATCTTCAACACAGTCTAGCTATGTAAGCCTATGGAAAGCAGCATAAAATATATCTCCATCAGGTTGCTTGGCTTATCTTATCTTTGGAGTGAGTTGATTCTGAATAGTTTAGAACATTATTCACAACCTAAGAGTACTTATACTTAAATCATTGACTCTGGGTATATGAAAAGAAATTACTCACATATGCTTGACAAGCAGGAGCTGCAAGTCCTGTATCTGCTTCAATATCTTGCTGCCTTTGATGAGTGTGCAGAGTTTCATTAATTCCATCATCTCTACTGCCTGTAACCTGTGATAATTCCTTGGTAGAGATATTTCTCTCCAAATGTGGTTCTTGCTCTCTTCCAGTGGAAGACAGAGCCCACTGCTCTTCAATCATATCCCCACCTCCAGAAAACTAAAAAGAGTCTCAGAAATCATGCATCAAAAGTTATAAAATATAATTACATCAAGTAAGGACATATCTTCTTGTTCACTTGGATTATGTTCAGAATTATCAGAGCTGCTAATGATGGTTTCATTATCTTCCCCTAGTTTAGATGGATCCAATTCTGGGACCTTGGATGCATCTTGCTAAGAATAAAATTGTCATGAACCGTTTATTTTGATTATTCTTTTCTTTTTCTTTTCTAATTAATAAAGCAGTTTCTATAATTTCGACAACAAAGACAAACAAGACAGCTCATGTTACGACATGAGGATAACACACAGTAGTAGTACTTATTTCATTTCGATCTCTTATTAGATACATGCTTGTAACACATGTCTGCAGTATGCAGCCGCAGTGCACAGTAGATATATTACTTACACATGTTCTCCTCATTATCGAACATGACTTAGTCGCACCCTATGTGCATGGTCTTCTAGTATATATAGTAGTAGTTTACATCCCTATTCTGTAGTCTTTAGCTGGTCGTTTCTTACTGCCAATACAAAGGTCTCTACTCCTTACTCCTATTCCTTCTCTCTCTCTTAAGTTGATAGTTTGCGTATCGACCTTGGCACTCTCTTAGTAGATTGTGTTGACGTGCCTGACAAAAATCAGAATTCATTAAAGTCCTATAGAACCAAATAAAAAATACTTCAAAAAACTAGTTCTCATTTTCTTGTAAAAGATGCAAAGTCACTTAACTTAACCTAGTATAAATATATTAATGTACCTGGTATTCTTACATCCCATATTCTAACTGTTTCATCATCAGATCCAGAGACAATGTATTGGCCATCTGGTGAATAGTATACAGAATTTACCTCCTTTGTATGTCCTTCTAAGGCTGGTATTGCTAATTCTCCAGTGCCAACATGCTAGATTCTGATTGATTTCTCCTTGGAGCATGATGCAAGATATGTTCCATTGGGAGAGAATGTAGCAGAATTAACATTGACTGGGTGGCCTTTCAATGAATCCATGGCATGTGCTTCCTGTTTCTGCATTCCAGAGGTAGACATTACTGTCTTCACATGCAGAAGCAATATATTTCCCATCTGGTGAGTAGACAGTTGTACAAACAAAAGAGGTATGAACCAAAGGCCCTAGTATCCCTTTTCCAGTTGTAGCATCCCATATTCATATAGTTCTATCCCAAGAACTACTGATTATATGCTTTCCATCTGGTGAATATGAAACAGATTGCACAGGTGCTGAATGTCCCTCAAGTGGACCAAGAATTGTTTTTCTGGTCTCCACATCCCAAATTCTCACAGTTTTATCTTGTGATCCTGAGGCTATGTGTCTACCATCTGGAGAATAAGCAACAGACCAGACATGGCCTATATGTCCCTTAAGAGGCTCTCCAACCCTCTGCACAGTATTTGCATCCCAGATGCAGATAGTATCATCTGCAGAGCCTGAGAGAATATATTCTCTGCTGGGGGAGAATGATACAGAAAAAACTCCAGTGTTGTGGCCACTCAGTGCTTCCATGGCCTCCAGACCAGTTTCTGAGTTCCATGTTCTGACAGTACAATCATTAGAGCCCTTGCCAAAATAGACATGTATGGTCTTTATTATTGTATTATTGTGCTTTGTCAATTCCCATATCAATTGATGAGGCACAGTCTGTGTGGTGAAACCCAGGCTGAGCTTTGCTGGATTTGCTTATAAAAGGGCTGCATGGCACACCTTGCCACATTGTGGCTGCGTTAATCCCTTTTCTCAGAATACTCAGGTTAGCTGCCTTCTGAAATTACTATTCTGGAAAACAATTTACTGATAGCTATCAAAGACAATAACAAATCTATGGAGTCTTGTCTTGCTCATTTACTCCACTCCAATGCAGCACCCATGCAATCAGAAGTTGCAGCAGCAGAGGAACTCATTTTGGCCATTGATACTGAAGCAGATGCTGTAGATACTGAAATAAAATTAGCTCATCAGATTCAGCAGGAGCTTGAGCTGAAACAAGATGCTATTGTAACTCAGAGAAAAGCCTGCAAAAGCATCTTTTCTCCTATGCAGATTTTTCCACCCAAAACTCTTTCTCAGATATTCTATTTTACCTTACCATGGGAATATGAGTCTTATGAGTACCCAAGGTTTCATTTTGGCTTTGGTCCACTGGTAGTATTGACTTTATTGAAGCTATCCCTAGTCTGCCATCAGTGGAATGATATTGCAATGTCTACTCCAGAGCTCTGGAGTATGATACATCTTGATCTCACCAACTGTCCACATGGGGCATTGCAATCTCTCTTGCACTCTGGATCAGTACCTCTGTCATTCTCAATAAATGTAGACAATCAGTTTTCTCATGAAATCAATCAATTCTTTCAGGCCACTGACACAACCTGTTGGGCAAATGTTGAATTTCAGTACCACATTACAAAGCCATTCTCTCATACAACATTTGCATGGCCCCAGCTCCATTCCATTACCATGGGAGGAATCTAATGATTGTATCACTCTTACAAATGCTCCGAATCTAAATTCTCCAATGATCATGTCATTTTACAAGCAACATATAGATGTGTGCTGGTGTCAGGCACGTCAACACAATCTACTAAGAAAGTGCCGAGGTCGATACGCAAACTATCAACTTAAGAGAAAGAGAAGGAAGAGGAGTGAGGAGTAGAGACCTTTGTATTGGCGGTAAGAAACGACCAGCTAAAGACTACAGAATAAGAACGTAAACTACTACTATATATACTAGAAGACCATGCACATAAGGTGCGACTAAAGCATGTTCAATAATGAGGGAAACATGTGTAAGTAATGTATCTACTGTGCACTGCGGCTATGTACTGCGGACATGTGTTACAAGCATGTATCTAATAAGAGATCGAAATGAAATAAGTACTACTACTACGTGTTATCCTCATGTCGTAACATGAGCTGTCTTGTTTGTCTTTGTCGTTGAAATTATAGAAACTGTTCCAGTAATTAGAAAAGAAAAAGAAAAGAATAATCAAAATAAACGGTTCATGACAGCTGGGATCAATTGTCAACTCTTGTACTCAATGCATGTCACCAACTATTTGGCCATGATGTTCTCCCTGTTCTCAAACAGTGCAAAAATGTGGTCAACCTCACATTGATGTCATTCTCAGAACCTGATTCATTGACTTTAACTGGCAGTGCTTAGCTTTCAATTAATCATTTTTCTGCACATCTCTTTTTCCTGCCCCATTTACATTGTCTCAATCTGCACAACTACTACTCCACTCCATTATTCATGTATCTACATGTACCTAGTCTACAGAAAATCATCCTGAGACCCTGGAAAGAAGAAGCACATAACATTCAGCCTAGAGAACTCTCATTGTAAAATTACTAAATTGACAATCAATCACACATGGTTGGACAATCAGTGTCTATTTGATACAATACTCCAGCTGAAATGCCTTGCTGAGCTCCATCTGAAGGCTTCTCATATTGATGGAAAGTTTCTTAACTTCCTAGGCATTTTGTATGTCAGAAATCTTGAGGTTATTGAGTTACAAGTATCACCAGAACTATTTGCCCAGCAGGCATTTTCGGACTTTTGAACAGCCGAGCCTATAGTATGTCCTTGGTTGCACCAATCGAAAAAGCGTCACTACGATATCATGGCTTGCATGATGATCTTGCACATATTCATACTTGGAGCAACAATGTTACATATATTCCGGTGAAAGCCGTGGAAGGGCTATGCAGTGTAATGGATATTTATATGGACTCATACTAACTGGGACAGTATTTGATATAATGTGTACTATTGGTGATGCTAATGGCTGGAAGGTAAAAGTGAGGAGGGATGTTGACTTGGGTTACTGGCTGGCTAAAAGAAGTAGAATTTCTAGAGTGTGTTTATTCGTGTACTTTATCTTGATTCTTGCTTCATTATTGTAATGAAACGAAGTCTTATCATGTGAGTGAGATAGAGAATACAAATTTAATATCTGTAGAAGTTTACAGTGACTTAATGTGCATGCCTCGAGCACTGGTGACTGTAAAGTAAGTAAAGGCATGAGAACAACACGAGAGGCCAATTTACGTATGACGCCAAATGCAGATTTGGTCACGTGACACTGACAGCATTGCGGCTCCGGTTGTCCAATCATTGGTGGGCCGTCGTGTCCAACGCCTCGATTGCTACTCTTTCCCAACA